CAAAAAAAAAAAAAAAAAAGAAATACTTCAGCCCCGGACTGTTGAAATACTCTAAGGCCAGGCGCGATATCACGGTGGGAACTGCCACCCTTCCTACTCTCAAACAGATGGGTCTGTCCAGGCTGGGTCTTAGAACACAGCTTGTGGGACAGACCACAAGACCAGAGACCCTCCTCCCACCACCATTTCTCTAGGCAGAACCGGTGTTAAGAAGTGATTTAAAGAGAAGGGCTGAGCCAGGCTCGGTGGCTCAGCCTGTAATCCCACGCCTTTGGGAGGCTGAGGTGAGTGGATTGCCTGAGCCTGTGGGTTCGAGACCCACCTGGGCAACGTGGTGAGACCCCATCTCTATAATAAATCAAAAAATTAGCTGGGTGTGGTAGTGCGCACCTGTAGTTCCAGCTACTTGGAAGGCTGAGGCGGAAGGATTGCCGGAGTCCAGCAGGTCGAGGCTACGGTGGCCAGGAGCGGCCACTGCACTCCAGTCTGGGTGACAGAGTGAGACTCCAACTCAGAAAAAAAAAAAAAAAAGAGAAGGGCTGGCAGGGCACAGTGGCTCACACCTGTAATCACAGCACTTTGGGAGGCTGAGGCGAGAGGGTTGCCTGAGTCCAAGGGTTTGAGATGGCCTAGGGAACTTGGTGAGACCCCATCTCTATAATAAATTAAAAAATTAGCTGGGCGCGGTGGCACGTGCCACCTACAGCTCCAGCTACTTGGAAGGCTGAGGCGGAAGGATCGCCTGAGCCCCAGTAAATCAAGGATGTGGTGGCTGTGAGGGTGCCATTGCTCTCCAACCTGGGCAACAGAGTGAGATTCCAACTCAAAAAAAAAAAAAAAAAAGCAAAGAAAAGAGATACTCCAACCCTTCGTGTTTCAGATGAGGATATTTGGGCCCATAGAGGCCAAATAAATGACTCAGAAACACCCAGCCAACCAGAGGCGGGGGCTGGGGGTGGAGGGAACAAAAAAGTAAAAATATATTGAAAATAAGAATGAAAATATTCATAGAACTTGGGAAATGGTTCCCATCCTGTACTTTTGTTCACTGATGCATTCAGATTTAAAAAATTGTGCAGTATTTCACCTATAGCTATGAAGCTCTCTTGTAGGAGGTAATCAGAGTAATGTTGTAAGCCACCCAGAACCATCAATGCTATCATCCCTCCACATGTGGGATTCTGACTCACATGTGCCATGAATGTGTGCTCTTTGACAGCAGGCCCTCGGGGGACCCAGCAAAGCAAAATATATAAATCCACATGCACCAGCTTCTCACGAGAGAAGAGGGAAAACAAACACGTAAGAAACGCCAAACTGTTTTGGTCTGAAGCAAAAATGCCATTTTCCTTTGAAGCAGATCTACTCTCACATGCAGCAGACAGCTAGTGGGAGAGGGACTGGGAGCAGGGGCATCTGGCAGTGGTAAGCGGGGGTGGGGCATCTGGGCCGCATGGCCTTCTTGGAGGCCTGGGGTGTGTTACATGCCAGGATGTCTGCATGCACTTGCATACCACATGTATGTGCTCTGTGAACACACAGAGCGTCCATGACGCCTGGAGATGGCACCGCGTACCCGGGTGCATGGCACCATTCCCTGCAGTCCCCAGCTAGGACTCGGGAGTCACTCTAATCCCTGTTCCCATCCCACTCAGGGCTGCTCTAACATTCTTTGGAATGGTTCCCACGAAAGGGGCCCTGCTTGGGAACTTTTTTTTCCTGTCTCTTCCTTGTTTTGTTTTGGGAGCAAAATATCCTTCCCAAGCCCCAGTGACATGGCAGTATTAGAGGGAGAGCAGCCATCACCATGAGCCAATGGGGTTGTCTCCGTGGGTCTCAGCAGACACAGTAGCACATTTAGGTAACAGCTGCCATAGGGCAGTGAGGCTGGCAGACTCCTTTAGTTTTCCTGACAGTCACATTCCTGTGTGGCAGAAAAGAATGGTTGAGAAATGTCTATGAGCCAGTGGGAAGTGTCTCCCCGTTCCCCTGTCCCCAGTCCGCCATCATCCTAGGAGAATGGGCTGCACATGGGAGGAGGCTGCTAACACTGGCTGTTCTTCTCCTGGTGTCTGGCAGCTGGTGTTGCGAATCAATGCCATTTATGAGGCTCGGAGAGGAAAGAAACGGGTGAAGAGGCTGTCCCAGTCAACGGAGAGCAACTCAGGAAAAGGTAGTGTCCTCGCCACCCCTCCTCCCCAGAATCTGAAAAGACATCCTTCCCTGAAGCTGCTTCCTGCTGTTTCTGGTTGGTTCCCGAGGAGGAGAACAAGTTGATGCTTTGTGAATTCCTCTTGTCTTCAGATGGTGGCGAAGCCAGGAGCTCGACCTGGGCTACATGTTCCCTGCCTCCCTTTGCTTCAGCCACCAAGTTAGCCAAGCACCGCAGGCCCTGGCCCAACTAGTTACAGTCTTCTTCGCTTGGCATGTGTAATGAGGCCAAGATCTCTTGCTGTACTATTTGATGTAGACACCATCTGAACTAGAGCCAGATTAATTTGGAAGTACATTAAGTTGGACGAAGACAGTTTGTCCATTGCATTGAAAGGGACAACAGAATGCTCCCTCTGAATTAGAAATTTTGGATTTGTGCTACCCCATACGAAGGGTTTCTGCCTTAGAAGAATTCACATTTGCAACTTTCTTTGTTCTTTTTGTCTAGTGACAGATGAGAACAGTGAGTCTGACAGTGACACCGAAGAGAAGCTGAAAGGTGAGGAGAGCCATTGCTGTGCAGGGTGCAAGCAGGTGACTTGGAAGCTGCAAAAATGACCCCTGCTTCTTAGCGTGAGGGACAGAAGCGTCCTGCCCGAGCTTGCTGGGCAAGGCATGGGTGTCTGAGAGGACAGAGGTGCCCAAAGGCCGCTCAAGGCCGGGCAGTCATGAGCATGGCCAGAATGACTGTGCAGTCACCACCTTCCACTCAGTTCCAGAGCCAGGGTGGCCACGATAACTGTGGCAGCCCCAGTTCCTGTGCCTCTGCTCTGCGTCCTGAGTGCTTCCCACACTCTGAGGTGAGATGCTGCAGGCACAGAGCTCAGAGACCGGGGCTCTTGCCCCACCTCTGTCAAGTTGCTGTGGGGTTTTTTTGCTTTTTTTTTTTTGAGTTGGAGTCTCACTCCGTCACCCAGACTGGAGTGCAGTGGCCGCTCCCGGTCACTGCAACCTCGACCTGCTGGGCTCTGGCGATCCTTCCGCCTCAGCCTTCCAAGTAGCCGGAATTACAGGCATGCGCTACCACGCCCGGCTGATTTTTTGATTTATTGTAGAGATGAGGTCTCTCCAAGTTGCCCAGGCGGGTCTCAAACCCACAGACTCAGGCAATCCACAAGTTGCTGTTATCAGGAGGAAACCTCTTCATATCCAGGGCTGCTGGTGCCCAATCTGTCAGGTGAAGTTGTTGGAATAATTGGCTCCTGACGATCTAAAATTAGGTGATTTAAGTCTAGGCTTTAGTGAGTCTTCCACAATTTCTCAAATCCCAGGGAAAAGCCAAGAAAGCAAATCCAGGGTTGCTGAGCAAGGTGACAGGGACCAGACTGCTCAGTGGTCTGCTGTATTGGTCTTTAACACACTGACTGCTCCCTGTCCACCTCTAGAATGAAGCTAGTTTGTTCCATCAGAGAGTTGGGGCCACAGAGGAGGTGGGTGGGAGTTCCCAAGTCAGTCAGGTCTTGACCAATTGAGTCACACGGGATGTTTACAGAGCTCTTGGCTCCAAGTGCTCTGTGGTCTGGATCCTGTCACATCACACAATGATGAAGGAAATGAGTGAGAGGAGGAGTTTGTGTCCCCGCCCCCCATGACAGATGAAGGCGAGGACTTCTTGAGCCTCTGCCCAGAGTCCAGACAGCAAAACTGAGGAAGAGCAGAGCCCATGCAATCTTGGCCTGACTGTGTGGTAGCCTGTCAGATGTTGCTCTGCCCAGAACTTTGGCAAGGATCCCAAACAGAGAGTGCCCTACTAATTTGTTAGATATAGAGACACTTGGGGAGTTAGCAAAAAGTCCTTGAGCGGGAATTACATAACCTGTTATGGCTCTGTGCCATTCTGTACTGGCCCACGGGTCATGCCAGGCTCTTTCTTTCCCCCTCCCTCTAGCTCACAGCCAACGCCTGGTCAATGTGAAGTCCCGCCTGAAGCAGGCGCCTCGGTACCCGTCCCTTGACCGGGAGCTCATTGAGTACCAGGAGAGGCAGCTCTTCGAATACTTTGTAGTCGTGTCTCTGCACAAGAAGCAGGCCGGATCTGCCTACGTGCCAGAACTCACCCAGCAGTTCCCTCTAAAGGTACACGGTAGCCAGGCCCCTGGGACCCCTGGGCCCTGCGAGGGCACTACCTCATTCTAGCCATCACCATGTTGGAACTCACAGATTCAGGGAGGCATGGGAGTCTAAGGAGCACCTCTTGTCCAGAACCTTGAAAGTGGGCCGGGCATGGTGGCTCAGCCTGTAATCCCATCACTTTGGGAGGCCGAGGTGAGAGGATTACCTGAGCCCAGGGGTTCCAGACCAGCCTGGGCAACTTGGTAAGACCTTGTCTCTACAATAAAACACAAAAACTAGCCAGGCAAGAAAATGGGTCCTAATTGGGGTATAGCCAATGAAAACACTGCTGCTGCTGGAGAATTTGAGAGGCTTCAGGGAGGAGAGATTCAAGGACTTGGGAGTATGGGCAAAATGCTTTCTCACTTCCTGTGGTCATTGTGGTGACCTTCCCATCCTCTTTGTCCTCCTCTCTCTTTTTCCAGCCAGCCACATCTCTTCGACTATCCTGGAAGCCTCTTTTCCCTCAAGCCACACAGTCTCCCTAAGTAGCATCATATCTGTGTCTACTGACCATATGCTTGTGCATGATACATCTCTCAGTAAGTGTGCAGGAGAGGCCTACCATGTCCTGGCTCATGGTTATGTGCATTTGGCTTTACCCACTGTTAAATCATGGTGCCTAAAATAAAATGGCACTTAATAAGGCCTTGAACGACATGGCCAATAATATATCAATCATTCTTGGACTTTGACATCAGTAGTGAAGAGACTCCACTATTTTCTAATTCAGTTCAGCCGGAATTTACTAAGAAAATACATTCAAGTTATTTTCTGCTTGGCCCCACGGGATTGCAAAGATAAACAAAATGTGCTTCTTGTCCTCAAGGAGTTTAATATCTGATGGCAGGGCATAAGATAAGCATACCCCAAAAAAGTGTGCAAAGACTCAGAAGGAAGATCTCCGAACAAACCCAATGCCTCCCATGAGGGGAGAAGGGAGGAGCTTGCATCCCGGGCCACTCAGGGCCTCTCGTTGCCATCACCACCCAAGCATAAGCCCAGCATCTCCCAAGGCCCAGATCCCAGTTGCCCCCCTGCCCCTCTTCTTTGCCAGATCAGCCTTCCTTCCAACCTGCCCTCTGTGGTCCAGCACAACAATCAAGTCCTATTTTTGGAGTTTAGGGCAGCAATTAAGTAGATGGAAGTAAACCATAGGCACTAGCCCTCCAAATTGGCACTCACCTCTAAGAAATGGTCCCCTGAAAACTGCCATGGGAATGCCCAGTTGTGGGGTGTGCTGCCCATGGATAAGAGAGGCCACTGATGCTGCTCACGCTGACTTACAGCACAAGAAAAACCACATAGAGAGCACCAATGCGTGAAGGAAAGTCCTGTTACCCTGTTCTCTGCCTTAGGCCCTAGCACCATGCTGCTCACATGGCACTGCTTAATCAGTGTTCCAAGAATAAAGAGGGCATTAACGCATGAGTTAGTTAATTAATGACTCACCATAATGATTGAATGCTTGTAGTTTCCACTCCTAGATTCCAGTAACCACATTAAAACTTGCTTGTAGTATAATTGCGTAGTCACTGTTGAAAGGGGGACTAATCCAGAAATGGATAAAGGCAAAAGCCACCTGTAATCCCACTACAAAGAGACCATCACTGGTAACCTTGTTTTGTTTTCTTGAAGTCTTTTCTCATAGCATAATTTTCTTACAAAACTGGGATAATACATAGCATAATTTTTGTATCATGCTTCATGTACTGCTTTGTAAACCTGTCATTATTTATAAGCATTTAATAACAATTCTAAAACATTATTTTTCAAGTTACATAATGCTCTGATATGTGGGTACATCATCATCTGTTTAGCCAATTCCCTTCTCTTGGGATGTATCTTGTCATCAGTGTTTTTGTCTTGTTCTTTTTTGTTTTTGTTTTTGAGAGACAGGTTCTTACTTTGTCACCCAAGCTGGAGTGCAGTGGTGTGACCATAGCTTCCTATAACCTCCAACTCCTGGGCTCAAGCGATCCTCCTGCCTCAGTCTCCTGGGTAGCTGAGATCACAGGTGCACACCACCACACTCAGCTAATTGTTTTTGTTTTTGTAGAGCTGTGGTCTTGCTATGTTGACCAGGTTGATCTCAAACTCCTGGCCTCAACTGATATCTGCCTCAACCTCCTGAGTCGTTGGGATTACAGACGTGAGCCACCACGCCTGGAGCCCAGTGTTTCTTTATATATATATATGTATTAGTTATTTATTTATTTATTTTTGAGTTGGAGTCTCACTCTTGCCCAGGTTTAGACTGCAGTGGTATGCTCATGGCTACTGCAGCCTTGACCTGCTTGGCTCAGGCGATCCCTCCCCCTCAGCATTCCAAGTAGCCGGAACCACAGGCATGCACCACCATGCCCAGCTAATTTTTTGACTTATTATAGAGACAAGGTCTTGCTGTGTTGCTCAGTCTGGTCTCAAAACCCTGAGCTCAGGCAATCCTCTCGCCTCCACCTTCCAAAGTGCTGGGATTACATGCATGAGCCACTGTGCCTGGCTATTTTCTCTTTAATACGATAGTGCTCATCCTTGTACATGCATTCTTGCATGTCAGACTATTTTTTATCTCTTTGCCTTTGTTCATTTGCTACCTCTGTCAGAAAGACCTCTCTTTCGATTTAAAAAATTGTTAAACTCCTGTACAATCACTTTATCAAAGTATATAGTCCACATCTGCATTCTATATTTGTTAAAAAGCTTGCTGTCACACTTTTATCTCTTTGACAGTTCAAGGAGACTGGGCTGCTTTCCAGTCATGTGTGCTGAGTGGTATCTATGGGAAAATTCTTTGTACAGCTTCCTGTATCTGTGCCCTTGTGTGTATATGAGCCTGTGTGCATGTCCACTGATGACTCACCTAGTGGTTACAGTGTTTGCAAGCACCCGTGTGCCTGTATTTGTGTGTGTCATATGTGTGATTCTGGAGTGGGTACATGCAGGTGGTGACTGCACTGGATTGAAAGGGGCTGCAACTTATTTCCCCAAAGGTCTGTCCTTCAGTCCTGCAGACTGTTTCCCTGTAGAGAAATTCCTTGGGTGTTCTTCCTTCCTTGGGTGTTCTTTATGATGTGGGTTCTTCACTCTGGTGATTAATAACCCTCTCCTATAATTATACCCTGCTAGTCTCTTCTAATCACAGTAACCATCTGAGTTAGCGACTCAAAGACTGTTGCTGGACCAGTTGGGATATTCTGTGTCATGGATGAGAGACCTGTTCTATAGAAAAGAATCACAGACTTTATTTCTGAAGAAGAAAAACTAAAGGACAATTAAGGATGGGCTTAGCTGGGCACAGTGGCTCATGCCTGTAATCCCAGCACTTTGGGAAGCAAAGGCAAGAGGATCACCTGAGCCCAGGGGTTCGAGACCAGCCTGGGCAATTTGGTGAGACCTCGTCTCTACAACAAAAATCAAAAAATTAGTAGGGCTGGTGGCGCATGCCTGTAGTTTCAGCTAATTGGAAGGCTGAGGTGGAAGGATCACCTGAGCCCAGCAGGTCGAGGTTGCAGTGGCTATGAGCATGCCATTGCACTCCAGCCTGGGTGACAGAGTGAGACTCTGACTCAAAAAAAAAAAAGATAGGCTTTAAGTCTGTAAACTGTTATTGTTTCCTCAATTGGTTATTGTCTCAACCATTAGTATTAGTAGCATCCTATGGCTTCAATTAAATTTGATCTAGCTTAAGGAGACTCATACTAGAAGTGGGTGGGGCTTTTTTGTTTGTTTTTGTTTTTGAGTCTGAGTCTCACTCTGTTGCCCAAGCTGGAGTGCGGTGACATGCTCACGGCCACCGCAGCCTCAACTTACTGGACTCAGGTGATCCTTCCACCTCAGCCTTCCAAACAGCTGGGACTATAGGCATGTGCCACCACCCCTGGCTAATTTTTATGTATTAATTGTAGAGATGAGGTATCACTAAGTTGGTCTTGAACCCCTGGGCTCAGGCAATCCTCTCACCTTGGCCTCCCAAAGTGCTAGGATTACAGGCATGAGCCATCGTGCCTGGCTAGAAGTGGTTTTTTAAAGTTGGAAATAATCAGTGTGGTACTCTATATCTTTGGATACTCTCTTCAGAGACCTCCTCTCTCTAACACTTGGTGACCTTAGGAAGGTTTGTAGATCCTCAGTGAGGCAGTCAACAATACTGCCGGCCTGCTGATTTGGCAAGGCTGTCCTAAAGTGGAGGTCAATGGCAAGCTATTGGAAATGAATTGATGGAAATTATTACAGAAAAAAATTTATTTTTTAATTTTTATTTTTTTTAATTTTTAAAATTTTTTTATTGTTTTGAGTTGGAGTCTCGCTGTTGCCCAGACTGGAGTGCAGTGGCCGCTCCCGGCCACTGTAGCCTCTACCTGCTGGGCTCTGGCGATCCTTCCGCCTCAGCCTTCCAAGTAGCCGGAATTACAGGGGCACGCTACCATGCCCGGCTAATTTTTTTAATTTATTGTAGAGATGAGGTCTCGCTGCCCAGGCAGGTCTCGAACCCGCGGGCTCAGGCGATCCACTCACCTCAGCCTCCCAAAGGCACAAGATTACAGGCTGAGCCACTGAACCTTGCTAAATTCTGATATTTCAAATTACTGAAGGTAAATTTGGCAAAGTGCACTTTTCTTTAATTTTTTTTTTTTTTTTTTTTTTTTTTTTTAAGATTTTTTTTTTTTCTTTTTCAGTTGGAGTCTCACTCTGTCACCCAGACTGAAGTGCAGTGGCACGCTCCCGGCCACCACAGCCTCGACCTGCTGGGCTCCGGCGATCCTTCCGCCTCAGCCTTCTGAGTAGCTGGAACTATAGGCGCACGCTACCACGCCCAGCTAATTTTTGATTTATTGTAAAGATGAGGTCTCACCAAGTTGCCCAGGCAGGTCTCGAACCCGTGGGTTCAGACAATCCACTCACCTCAGCCTCCCAGGCATGGGATTACAGGCTGAGCCACCGATCCCGGCTTCTTTAAGTTTTTATAATGAAAATTGAGCTAGACACAGTGGGCCATGCCTGTAGTCCCAGCACTTCGGGATGCAGAGGTAAGAGAATTGCCTGAGCCCAGGGGTTCGAGACCAACTTCAAGTTACTTACTAAATTATTATTTTCTATTAGTTATTTTTTATTTATTGTAGAGGCGAGGTCTCATCTCTACAATAAATAAAACAATAAAATTAAGTCCAGGCACAGTGACTCAAGCCTGTAATCCAGCACTTTGGGAGACTGAGGCGAGAGGATTACCTGAGCCTAGGGGTTCAAGACCAGCCTGGGCAATTTGGTGAAACCTCATCTCTACAATAAGTCAAAAAATTAGGCGGGCATGGTAGCGTGCACCTGTAGTTCCAGCTACTTGGAAAGTTGAAGTGGAAGGATCGTTTGAGCCCAGCAGGCCAAGGCAGCAGTGGCCATGAGCATGCCACAGTACTCCAGCCTGGGCGACAGAGTGAGACTCCAACTCCAAAAAAAAAAAAAAGAAGCCAGGTGTGATAGCGTGTGCCTATAGTTCCAGCCACTTGGAAGGCTGAGGTGGAAGGATCACCTGAGCCCAGCAGGTCGAGGCTGTGATAGCCGTGAGAGTGCCACTGCACTTCAGCTTGGGCAACAGAGTGAGACTCTTGACTCAAAAAAAAATAAAATAAAGGAAACTGAACAAGTATAAACCTATTGACAACAAAAAAATCCTATAATTCTCCTCAACACTTAAAAGAGACCAATTTATAAACAAATATCAATAATAATTAGATAACTAACAGAAAATAATTCAGTAAGTAACTTAAAGTTATTCTTTTCTGTTTCTCAGACTTGTTTCTGGAGTGCTTTTTAAAAAGTTTGTATATATATGGTTTTTTTATAACTTTATTTTATTATAGAGATGTGGGGTACAAGTCAGGATTAGGTACATAAGTCGTCTACGTGCAGGTGGATCTCCAACTGGTCCTCACTTCCCCTGGTTTAGGACCAGGTACCCTTTGTGTTGTTATATCACCCCACCACTGGGAGTACTTTTTAAAGGTATAGATAATAATTATAATATTAATAAAAATAATAATATTATGTTTATAATTTATTTTATAATTATAATAATCTATTATTATAATTATAATATAATAATAATAATAATAATAGAATAACAAAAGACCAGCTTTCTGGATGGATGTAGTGGCACATGCTTGCAATCTCAGCTATTTAGAAGGCTGAGGCATCAGGATCACTTGAACCCAGGAATCTGAGTACAGCCTGGGCAACACAGCAAGAACACATCTTATGTGTGTATGTGCCTGTGTGTGCCTGTGTGTGTGTGTGTGTGTGTGTGTGAAAAGCACAGATTTCTGTTAATATACAAAATAAGCAAACTCATGACTTTAAATGTAATCTCTAAAATCATGATTCATCCTGAGTTTTTTTGTTTTTGTATTTTAGCCTGGAAAATATAGTCGTTTATTTAAAAAGTAAATTGGAGAGAGATCGGGGTAGATTCACCTCCCCAAGGTGGGGGAGGCAACCAAAGCTTAAGAAAACATGGTGTCCATAGCTCAATGAACATATACCCTGGATAGTGCTTAACAAAACAATGGCCAGTTCATCCTGTTTTTAACAAAATAATAATCATTCAGTCTTTGATGTGTCAGATGTTGTCAGATACTGTCCAGGGTACTGAGCTATCAGAGAGAGAGAGAGATTGGTTAAGATTATTTTCTTCTGCCGGGCTCGGTGGCTCAGCCTGTAATCCCGCGCCTTTGGGAGGCTGAGGTGAGTGGATTGCCTGAGCCCGCGGGTTTGAGACCCGCCTGGGCAGCGAGACCTCATCTCTACAATAAATCAAAAAATCAGCCGGGCGTGGTAGCGCATGCCTGTAATTCCGGCTACTTGGAAGGCTAAGGCGGAAGGATCGCCAGAGCCCAGCAGGTTGAGGCTGCGGTGGCCGGGAGCGGCCACTGCACTCCAGTCTGGGTGACAGAGTGAGACTCCAACTCAAAAAAAAAAAAAAAAAAAGATCATTTTCTTCCTAGCTCTAATACTAGTTGTGTGTTAGGACAAATCATTTATCATCTCAGGGCTTGTTTCCTTATCTTTGAAGTGAGAATGCCAGGCTGGATGGTGTCTAGCTTCCTCCTAGCTCCAGCACTCAACAACATTCTGACAACGTTAGCTGAATTGCAGAGTATAATATAATTTTACGGCATGTTTTCGCTAAGAGTGTTACAGCCTTTGCCTGGACTGACAAGGGACAGCCTCCCTTGGGCTCAGGGAGTAGAAGACCTGATTTGAGACTTTGCCTTCCAAATTCATGGGCCTTCTGTGTGGAAGGAATGGCTAAAGTAGTTTTTCCTTACTGACTGAAATAGTTACATTTTTTTTTTTTTTGAGTCAGAGTCTCACCCTGTCACCCAGGCTGGAATGCAGTGGCACAATCACATCTACTGCAACCTCGGCCTCATAGGCTCAGGCGATCCTTCCAACTCACCCTTCCAAGTAGCTGGGACTACAGGCATGCCCAGTTAATTTTTTTGTTTATTGTAGAGACAGGGTTTCACCATGTTGTCCAGGCTGGCCTCTTGCCTCTGCCTCCCAAAGTCCTGGGGTTACCAGCATGAGCCACTGCGCCTGGCTGCACACCCTACCCAGAGGAAGAGGTGGGGTGGCAGTCACAATTACAGGAAGGTGGGAGTTGTCATCCTTGCCATCATGCACCTCACTCTCCCTTGCTGGGCTTTATTCTCAAACCTTCTCTCACATTTGTTCCTGCAGTTGGATAGGTCTTTCAAATTCATGAGAGAGTTTGAGGACCAGCTGAAGGCCATCCCCCAGTTCTGTTTCCCAGATGCCAAGGATTGGACTCCTGTCCAGCAGTTTACCAGGTATGAGCCGGCATCTCCCCTTTCCACCCACAAAGACTGAGACAAGACTTGGAGATGGGTCATGGGGGCAGACCCTGTGAGTCAGTCCCACCGTTAAGAAATCCTGGTAGGCCCTGGCCTAGAAGTTTAAAAGCTCCCTGAAGATGGGACTCACCTTGCTAAACATGCAGATTTACCAGGCCTCCCACTCAGCCTGGGGAAGTGTCTGTTTTGTAAGAAAATCATTCTTAGGTAAAGTTAAGGAAACATTGCCCATCATTGTCCTCATCCAGTGCTCCTGAAACAGCCCTTCAGTAGGCTTCAGTCCTAGCGGTCACTCAGATGGGTCCATTTGCATTTCTGCTTTAGTCCATGTTGCCAGATACCAGTGTTTTTACTATCAGATGTTTTCAGCATTTGACCAAACTCAGTAGGCTGCATATCCTAACTGTTTGAGAGATATGTAGACTTTAAGAACAGTCTGCTTATCTCTCAAACAGGGTTGCCTCAGGGTTGCTCTGTTCATACAATGCCCTGAGAGAGTCTCAACAGGGGCAGCTCTGAGAGGCACACAGAACTGCTCCCTCCCTGAGTCAGCGATGCCATCTCACCATCACACTTATGCTCACTGAGGGCAGCATCCCAGGCTTCTTCCATGTCTTCAGCCACAAGAGCGAATGACAGTTGTGTTTTGTACAGTGGATGGCTCAAGTGATAGAACTGTGTGAGAACTTACGGTGGAAAAAAATGTACCTCATTTCCTCTCAGGACACAGTGACATTTTAGATCACCATCTCCCTGACATTTACTCCAAACCCGTAGATGACCAACATCTCAGCACGGTGCCGGACGAGCAGGACAAGGAGCAACCCTTTGGGATGGCTTCCTCCAGCACATCCCCTGGATGCTAACTGACTCTGCATCAATAATGAGGTCTTGTTTTGTTTTGCTTTGTCATGCATTTTGTTTTCTCAACCGCAGTGAAACATTCTCGTTTGTCTTAACTGGAGAAGATGGGAGCAGAAGGTTCGGCTATTGCCGAAGACTTCTGGTGAGTATGTTTTGCTTTCCAGCTAGCAGGAGCCCAGGGAGGCCCAGGGCATGTGGCCTAGTCCCTAGACACTGAGATTCCACCCCATACTGCAGAAAAAGGAAGAAGTGGCAGGTTAATCAGAGTAGTTAAAAGCCTGGAGAAAGATCAGGGGACTCACCTAAGTCTTATTGGTAGGTAGGAGTAATGTCTGTTTCCATGGTAAAAAAGTTACTTTCTCCAATGTTTCTCCTGCCAAATAAAAGGCCTTTCTCTTCTTTTTTTTTTGAGTTGGAGTCTCACTCTGTTGCCCAAACTGGAGTGCAGTGGCCACT